GGTGCCAGTTGCAAACCAGATATTTATAGTATTTATATGGCATCATTACTGACCGATACTGAAGTAAATGATTGAAACAATAAAAGTGGCAAAGTCATTTTTATTAACAACAATTAAATTCTCTTATTTTCTTAACGCTCTCATCAGTGTTTTCCTTTCGAAATTTTATTGCACTCGTGCTAATAGTAAAACTGTCAGTGGTTGTGAGAAAAAATGTCATTAAATTCCAGCTCATCGAACAACAGCCACAACGGCTCGAACAAACGCGCACACCGCACCGCAAATACACTGATAATGCCGACAGCGCGAGCACAAGCCGAAACCAAAATACATGCTGAGGCAACAAAAACTGCAAACGCACATACCATACATATTTATGTTTACTTATATACAAGTATATACATATGTAGTTACATGCAATGCTGGCGAATGGTTTTGCTTCAGTGCTAAGGGCAAAAATGCCAATAGGCAACCGGAAGTGAAAGCTAACGACCGCATTTAATGGCATTTATTTTGTTCAAACTGTTGTATGCCACAGACAGCATGTTGTTGCTAACAACAAGTGTTAATAGTGATTGGGAAACCGATCATAAAACCCATAGATATGTACGCTTACATAATACTCGAAACGTAGAAAACAAATATTACACAGTCTTCAGTACAGTGAAAGTATAAAAATTTCAATTTCAGAATTTTTCATTTAAGTTTTAGAAATAAAGAACTTGAGTAGATACTTATAAAAAACTATTTTATCTTTTACTAAACATAAACTCACCAAAGACAATTGATGAATTCCGTTTTACTTTATTAAATCAACTAATTATATTCTATTTTACTGTAATATTTTTAAAAAATGCCGTTTTATATCAGAAATATAAATTAACGGTATCCATTTGAATTCTAATGCCTACTGGTCCAATTAATTTCAAACACAGTAGTCGCAATTGATTTAGCTGACTTAAAATTTTACTTAGCAGCAGTTAAAATAATACAAAATTGGCTGAAATTCGAGTTAAAGATAATTGCATAAAAGAAGATTACTACAAAAGACTTACACAATAATAAAATTAATTTATTTTGATAATTTTTTTAGACCTAACCTAAAGTATGTGATCTGAATTACGTTTTACAAGTAGAATCCATTGCTTTTAATTTTTTATGGATTTTTCAAATGTAAATCTTTTCCATTTGAGAGGGTATAATAGCTTCGGTAAAAAAGTAAACATTTTTTCTTATTTAGATTTACAAAACTATTTCATTCAAAAGATGTGTTTTTATGTGTTCGTCATAAAGTCTCAACTAATAAACAACTATACGGTCCTAAAACCGAAATAAATGTTGATGCAAAAACTATTCCCTTAAGGTGATCTAAGAAGGCAATTAGAGTTCACATAAAATAAAAGTAATCAGTAATCTTGTAGAATTTGGCGATTAATTATTTCTCATTTTCATAACCCAACCCAATAAATTCATTTGATTTGAATCCCAAAGTACTTCGTCTGTGACAACTCCAAAATATATGTTTTGAGTCTCATCTGCTATCGAGAATCTTTGGGTGTTGGCTGTAGTCCTTTGAAACCCAATTCAATCGAAACGTGAAAAAACTAAAATTTGCGTTCTTCGTACATGATTTGACGATATGCGGGTTATTATGTTCAATACCTTTAATCGCACAATATTTTTCACAAGTTAGTTATATTTCTCGTCGATGAAACTATTTTAATTTTGCTGAACTTCGCTAAAATTACTCACAAATCTAATTCCTTTAAGTAGGATTGTAAGAAGTTAGTCAAAAGTTCTGATGGAACAACGCTTAATACTTGTAACAGCAAATAGTAAACCATATTATAAATGCTGAAAGCTTCAAAAATTAATTCTTCAAAAGCAGTTCAATCAAAAAAGTTATTTTTCCACAAAAATAAATTATTTTTATTTTAGAATTATTTAAGTGCATAGATATTAGAAATACAAACAGTATAAATTTCTTAATTTGAATGTATATAGATATATCTTTAGGCCAAAAAAGTACAAAAGAGTAAAGGACATTAGTTTATTTACTGTATATATCAAAGTGTTGCATTGTGCTTCTTCAGCTGCTGCTTGACATCATTATACGATATTATTGACTGTTGAAAGCGAAAAAAATATTAAAGAAAAAAATATATTTCAGCAAAAATATTTATATTAAGTTAACAGATTTATACAAATATGCCTGCATAATATATAACGTTTTTTCATCAGACAATTAATTTAAATAACGCATACAAAATACACAAGCAATGCAAATATTATGGAACATGATATTCTAACAGCTAGCACGGGAAAAAATCACGTACAAACAAAACAGAATAATGGAGATAAAAGCCCAAATGAAGCGCATAGCCACACTAAATATACATGTGTGTGTGTGTGTATTTGCCAGATGAAAATGCTGAAAATGCATTAATTTGGAAACTTGTAAATTTAAGCGCGAAAATGCGAACATTTAATCGCGTAAAAGTGAGCTGCTCATCCATGTTAGATATTTAAGCAGACACGTTTTTCAACTATTTTCTGAACTCTCGACTACATTTTTTTGTTGTTTAAGTGGTTTGTATTTTTCTTTTAATACATGGGTTCTCACACATCAATAATCAACTATTTTTCTACACTGTAGTATATGGTAATGAACAGGAATAATTTCCAGCGAAAAATCGAAAAAATAAATAACGGTATTTTTAACATTTTTAATAATCTAGTTGCAGAATGTTAAACAACAACATTTATGCATGTAAATTTATTAAATATGAGATATATTAAATAATAATTTTCGGTTTTTTTTTGGCATAGCTTGGCATATATTTTTTTTAAAATCAAAATTTTTAACACAATGCTAATATACAAAATACCTACACTTTTCTATTTAATTTGTTACATTTGTTAATAATTATGTAAAATTTCGTTGTTTATATTGGAATCAAATTTGATAAAAATAATACAATTTATTTACAAACTCGCTTATGCCGTTAAAATTTAATGCAACTATGCAAATATGTGTATATGCAGCCCAAAAACACTTTCTGACAGCTAAATTTTATTCAATAGTTTTAAATGCCTTAAATTACCAAATGAACGGCATATTTTAAAGGGTACACCTGGTTTAAAATTTTAACCCAAATAGAAGTACATTTTTCAATAGCCTTTTTTTGACAGAGCGTGAGTCGTGTCAAGCTGTCATGTTAGTTTTGTTCAGTATTGTTTGACATTTGATCATGGAAAGATTTACGCCTAAACAACTTTCACAAATCGTTCAACTTTATTACGAAAGTTCACGTTCTCTAAAGAATGTGTTTTGCGCGCTTCGCTTAACTTATGGTCAACATAATCGGCGTACTGAGCATACTATTCGCAACACCATCAACCATCTTGAGACCCAGCATTCATTATTGAATAATATTCGACCGAATAGACCACGTTCAGCACGCAGTTAAGAAAATATAACGGCGGTAGCTGATAGTGTACACGAGGACCGGGGAGTCTATTCGGCGCCATTCGCAGCAACTCGGACTGACGACGTATAAAACGACTTGGCGCATTTTACGTCGAGCTCTTAAATTGAAAGCGTACAAACGCACAACGTTGTGCAAGAACTGAAGCCGCTCGACCTTCCCAAGCGACATCACTTCGCTCTATGCGCTCTTAAAAAGTTCCAAGAAGATCCGATGTTTTCGAGTCAAATTTTGTTCAGCGGTGAGGCCCATTTCGGGTTCAATGAATATATAAACAAGCCAATTGCTGCATTTGAAGGGAAGAGCAACCTGAAAAGATTCAAGAGCTGCCATTTTATACAGAAAAGCCACGGTTTGGTGTCGCTTGGGGTGCCTGTGAAATTATCGGTCCATATTTTTTTCAAAAATGATGCCAGTGAGAACGTAACCGTCAATGGCAACCGTAATCACGCAATGATAACCGACAATTTTTTTTATTTTTTATTTTTTTTTTCGAATGATAATAAATTAAATTTAAATTTTCTGTGTTTTTTCTTTAAAAAATTAAATAACCTCGATATGTATCACCCTTTATATATAGAGCTCCACAAACTTGAAAAATTTTTAAAATTTTTGTAGAGAATGTAAAAAAATGATTGGGAAATAAAATATTTATTCAAAACAAACAAACTTCTTGATTTAACGATATTTTAAAACTCGGAAAGTTTTATAAAAATAAAATTTTGCGTACAAATTTAATGAAAATACATTAGTATTTTGCAATAATAAACAATTGCGGCATATTTGAGACCATTAAGTCTTTTTGTTTTTGGCATCAAAAAGCTTAAATTTTTTATATGGTTATCTCTTACAGTCTAATATAAAATATTTATTGAAAAATATTACACATACGAAATATACGACATATTTTCGCTACTCCCACAGTTAAACTTAAATTTAGTTATCTATTACAACCTTATGACTTGCTTATCTATAGCTCAAATAAAAACGAGCCCTGCAATTTGCCTGCAGCCTAAGCAAATGTTACTATCTCTTATAATAAGAAATATTCAGATATGTGTTCAAAATGGCTTATGTAACTCCCAACTTACATTTCAAATGTCAACATTTGGTGTTAGTACACTGCTCACTAATAGGCATGATTATATTTTATGATATTGAATATATCCCCCTCTTTAAAACTAATTTTCGAAGCTCTGTATCTTTGATTCTGAAGAAAATATATTCGTAGCAAACTTTTTTATACTCTGTAACGAGTTCAATAAAATCGTGAGCACGTAAAAATCGGAAGGTATCAACTAGAAGAACAATATACGATTCCACATATTTTTACAGGATATTATTGCAACAATAATAATAATAGAAAAATATGCAGCCAACTAGTTCTTCAAACTAATATTAATTTTTACAAATATACTTGCCTGATAAATTTTTATTCTTTCATACTTGTACATACATACCTTTATATGCGTAAAATAAAGTATAATAATAATTCGAAAAACTTACCTCTAACCACAATTTTATTTGGGGAAATTGGTTTGCATATATGTATTTAGTGGTGATGGAATTTAAAGTATCAGCTTTAAAAGCAAAAGTGAGAGCATATGGTGGATTCTATATTAAAGGACGTAGAAAAAAACGGAAACGGAAACTCGGTAAAAGTGAAACTTTCGCAAATAATGCCGAGAGGTATAAGCGTATGAGATACTTCATTCCCATTTTTATAAATTAGAGTTTCAAAATTTTTACTCTTTCAAAATTTTTTCAATTGTAAGCTATTCCTAACCCTTTCATTTTATAGTGTTTTTTTTTTTATCTTGTAATTGTTTTTACGTGCAATTCACAAATATGTGGCATCCTTCTAAAAATTTTGTCTTGAATCTTCTTAATGTTACACCAATACAATCAAAACAGCGACACTTAAATCAGTTTTATCTACGCTAAATGGTAACAGTGCAAATTGCTGGCGTAACGTAATTTTGTTGCGTAACACAATTTCGTCAGCCAAATTAGTTTCGAAAATTCATTAAAAAAATAGCCTTTTATAAAAAAGAAACAACTGCACTTAACTACTCTTTTCCTTATAACAAAAAATTCTTCTTGTATCCTTTGAACTGGAATGCACCATATAAGCACACACCCATAAGCATGAGCAGATTTATGCACCAGCTCTTGTACTCATATCAAGTAGACATATACTAAATATTTTCTCTATGTTTATTTCAACGAACATGCATACATGCTTACGCCTGTGCATGTGTAGTAAACAGAGTATTATTTGCGTAAATTTAAAAGCAAAAAAGCGAAAGAGATTAATAATGCCAACATGCATGCTAATAGCTTCATAAATTTACAAGTGCATGCATACATATATTCCTTAGCACTTACACTTAAACATAAATAGTTCGATACAAGTTAAAACTAAAATGCTTACAGGGGAATAAGAGAAGCGAAAAGTGAGTACTTAGTCACTCTCGTTTTAACATATTCGCAGATTTACGATATATGGTAGTCAAATCATACAATATTCGATCTAATTATTTAAAAATTATATTTGTTAGATATCATTTATTTTATTATATTTACTTTTGCTATTATTTTTACTTATATATTTTATTATTATTATTATTTTTTTATTACAATTAAATAATGCTCAAATATCTACTCCTTCTAGTTCCCTGACTTCTGGTAAACTTTCTGTGCGTCGCATTCTCCAACGTTTGCGCTCATCGACCGAAACAACATCAACGGCATCACCATCTGCTTCCTCACCCAGCGCGGTACCCGTACTCTTACCTGAAAGTAATCTTCTCTCTACAGAGTAATTGGTCTCCACAATTAATTTCAGCTTATTATCAGGCCCTGTGGAGGGATAAAGTAACGCCGCAGTTGACACATTCATCCCCAATAGCATTTTCTTTAGTTCATTGGTATTTGCCAGCGTCGCAAACTTATCAGAATATTGCAAATTATGTTTAAATTTTAATTTCGTAGTCAGTAGAAGCCCTAAATAGCCGATCTGCGGTTTAGCTTCGACCAACATATTGCCCTGTTTTATACGCTCTTGCTCGACTTTTTTTATACGCGATTTCAACACGGCGTTGCTTTTATTTTCACTCAGCTGTAGACCAATTGAACTCAGCCAATCTTGTATTAACACCACCTCGGCATTGCTGGCGCTCGCAACATCTGTTAAATGCCTTTTGATCACCGCTAGCGCAATATCATCGGCAACACCAACTATTTTCGCCACCCTCGGGTTTTGCTGTCGTGCAATGGCTTCGCGTATGGCACTCCAGTGAGTCTGATTGTGCATCGCGGCTTCTATACCTTGGAAACCTTCAACATTGTCTGGCAATTCATTTACGCTGTCAATACTGTGGTTCAGTTTTATTTATTATTGAATAATTTTTTGGGACGGAATTAATTAAAATACCTTATATTTTCTTGATTTTGTTGTAAAGAAGCTATTATTTGTTCCCAATCTGCTTTATTGTAGGCGTTTTTCACATCCAATGTCACGACGCGATAGTATTCTTGAAAGCCATTTCTAAGCCTTCTACCTTCAATGGATTTCTCCGACATACTCTCTACAACATCAGTAGGAAGTGAGTTTACACGATTTCTTGAACTGTCTAAGTTTTCTTTGCTCTCATTTCTTACTTCGTTTTCGTCCTATCTCACATGTATGTGTATAGTTGTTAGTTTGTAATAGTGTTCAACATGAAAGTACGCAAATGGTACTCAATGAAAGCAATAAATATGAGATAACTAAACATTAAGACTTTTTTATATATTTATATTAATATATATTTATAATATATACAATATTGATTGATATTTCTAAATAAAATAGATTTTCAGATTTTAGTTAATTGTAAAAAAAACCCTCAGCCGAAAGTCATCCTATTTTGGTGGAAGTTCATGGTGAACATGCACTAACTGAGCGAATGAGCCAAAAGTGGTTTGCACGGTTTAAAAGTGGTGATTGGCTTGATATCCGAAGAACGTCCTGGGCTGCCAAATATGTTGCCAACCACAAGAAGAGGAACCCGAATACATTGAAAAAGCAAGGAAATTAGGTGTCATTTGAATTGAAACCAAGAGACGATTTCGCATGCTGCTTAAACGATACAAAAAGAAGTCGTTTTTGCATCAGATTGTGATAACGGATGAAAAATCAATCCATTACGACAACCCAGTATCAATGACGCCACGGTAATGCTCTGTATCTGGAATGTTGTATTATAAACTTTTAAAACCTAGCTTGACCATTAATGGCGAAAGCTATCGACAAAAATTTATCAAATTGAAGTGAGTAATAGCCGAAAATGGCATGTAATTTTTGAGTAGACTCGAGGTAATATTTTTCCATCATGACAATGCTCGAACACATGGTGAAAAGCTATTTGGAAAACAGCGGCTACAATTCAAAAATTCCAGGACTTTTAAAACAACGCGGCTTCTAGTGGCGCCATCTGTCTGAAATTGTTATCCCTCAATTATGTATTCTTCAGTGTTGTCGTATAAAATGTATATAACAGCTGACTTGTAGAACAGCGAGATATCGCGCTACATGTGACATTACATTTGTAGTGTCGGTCGGAAAATGAGCATCGAACAAAGAGCCAACATTAAGTTTTGTTATAAGCTTGCTAAAACTTTTACCAAAACTCATCAAATGATGAAACAAGTTTATGGCAATGATTGTCTATCCCGTAGCCGTATTCACGAGTGGTTTAAACGTTTTCAAGAGGGACGGGAGGACTGGGAAGACCACGGACGTTCGGGCCGGCCAAAAGATGTTATGAACGAAAAAAACACAGAAATTGTGCGTGAATTCATTAAAAAAGAGCCGAAATCATCGCTTAAATATATGGAATCGGAATTATCAATATCCGCAGCGTCGATTTATCGTATTTTGACAGAAAATTTGGGCCTCAGAAAGGTTTGTGCTCGATTTGTCCCGCGAAAAAGACCACAGAATTCAACATTCAAAGGACATCATTAAAGAGGCCAAAAAGGAGCATGCACCCTATTCGCCTGATACGGCACCTTGCGATTTTTATTTGTTCGGAAAACTACATTTAGCCATGAAAGGAAACCGCTATGCTGACGTTGATGCCATCCAAAAGGCGACGACCGCCATCCTCAACGCTATACCGACAAATAACCTAAAAAAATCATTCGATAACCTTCTTGAACGTGCAGAACGTTGTATTCAGGCGCAAGGAAACTATTTTGAAGGAATAATATTCGTTTTTTAATAAAAGTCCTGAAACTTTTGAATTGGACCTTGTAGCCCAGGTCTTGCTTCTTATGACTACCATTTGTTGCAGTCCATGCAGAACGCCTTTACTGGAATACGGTTCACATCAGAACGGTGTATCAAAAATTGCCTAGATTCATTCTTGGCCGCCAAGCTGGCGCAGTTTTTTGTAATGGAATTCAAAAATTGCCAAATATATGGAAAATTATTATAGCTTCAGATGGACAATACTTTGAATAAAAATATTGTCTATGTTTTTCTTAAATAAACGTTTAAATTATGAAAAATTCACACGAATATAGTTATTGGGGCAATAGTCTTGCAAAAAGGGTCAGGTCCAGTAAACTTCACCAGCAAATGTCATAGTCGTTTCCTTCTCAACTTGAATTTCAACAGTTACAGTTTATATTTTTGGAACATTTTCAGAGAGTCTGTGATTTGATTGTCACTGCAGACTTCTGATGTATGCACCACATTCCCCACTATACGTCTTCAAAAATATGCACATTGAAAGCTGTTGGGTGAAATTTTCTTAAAATTGTCGGTAGATCTTCACCACTTCTACAGTCATACCTATTACTGAAGTTGAAGTATCAGCTATGGACGTATAGAAGACTAGAAAATGTTTTCAAACAAACTTGGTAAACTTGGGACTTCAATCAGGAATTTGACGATGAATTAAAAAGCGTTTATAAAAAATTGGTGGAATATTGTAGACGACTAACTTCTTATTAAGCTTCATAAAAGCAATCATGTTATTAAAAGTATTCACAACAAGCATTTACCATACACAATTACATATAGACAAATACCAAAAAATTGGCAAAAACCAATATAAAGTAAATATTTTAAGATATTTGGCAGCATTTTCAACTAAAAAGTTATTCGCTAGACTGAAATTGAAGCTTTATAATAGTACTTACGCTTAGAGGTTCCAATATCGCAATGCTTTCAAATTTAAACTAATAAATCTTTAGAATAAATAAAAAGCCGAAATACATATAATTTACAAAAACAATTACAACAACGCATAGCCAATTAATAAAGCAGCCTTAAAACGAACAAATTCATTCAAGCCCACTGACCTTCCAATAGTCATTGTCCCAGGAGGCAAACATACGCGTAAACACACGCGGTTCATTGCCCTGAACAATACGGATTACGCTGACAGTATCAACAGTACGATCGGTAGGTTCTTGTTTGATGTATTTCTAGAGAACAAAAACAAATGTTAAGAATTTGTGCAAATTCCGAGGTGGTATTAATAATTACCCGAGCCATTTGCAAAATTTTAGCATTTTCCTCTACAGATGCGCCGGAGCCGACCCACATGTAAATTTCATCACCGGCATCCAATAACATTACGTCATCAACATCAAGGTCCTGAAAAATTTTTATATTACAGGACGTTATCGTTAACCAAAAAGCTCTTAGATCACTCACCGTCTGCTTGAATTCGCGCACCTCCTCCACCTTAGTACGCCAGGCCACCAATTGGCAGTGGAACAGACGCGGCTCCAGCAATGGTGCACCCAGATCATTAACCCTGCGGTCGTATTCACCCTCACCATGCAATTCTTCCCAGAACTCTGAGGGTTCAGAACCTTCTTCAATCACCTCTGTCTTGCCATGAGGCCAGTAGTGAGCAAAACGCTCATTCGCAGAAGATTTCTCAAAGTCGGAAGCACCCTTTCAACGAACAATATTACTCATTTTTATAACACACATTCGTGCACACTCACCTGCCCAATCCATATGTAGACTTTGTGATCTAGCGTTATCAGTGCAAAGACATCACCAGAGGCCAACGATGAGGCGTCACAGTTCACTTCGGTCGCATGCACATCGGTTGCGTCGGTGCCACGTACGCGGAAGAGTTGCGCACTTTTCGGCTTTTCAGTGAATGGCGTAATCAGCTTACCTTTGAATATTTTCAAAAAATGGCGTGGTTCATGACTTTGTCCTGTGCGCACCAATATGGCATTCTCCTCCTGTGCCATCGCCAAACCGTCATTGAATGAACGCTCCTTCACGGCGTCACTAGCTTTAGCACCTTCCCACACATAAATGAGTTTACCAGACTCACCACTCTTAGCGCTATACTTGTAGGTGATAATGTAGGCATATTGACCGATTAGTGGTGTGGTGCCTTCAAAATCTACAATACTGCGCACAACATCATCATCCGACTCTGAACTGAACTTGATAATATGTTCAATATCACGTTCGCCAAAGTCGGGCATAAAAGCAATGGCTCGTCCACCACTTTTCTTTAGATTCTGCACAACCGAATCCACATCCTCAGGTTCCTCATAATCAGAATCGTCTGTGCTGTAACCCAACGCGATGCGTATCAAACGCTTATGTTGCACACCTTGATCATGCCAAGTCGAAAAGTATTGTTTGAACGGGGCCGGTTCACCATCCTCCACTACACGATGTACCTGCGTCCAATTTGGATACGAATTACTCTCTAAAAAATGCTCAGCTGCTTTCAGTGCACTGGTCTTTTCTTTTTGTGTTGAATTGCGTCCAACCCAAACATAAATGCCGGAATCTGTGTCTAGTATGAAGCTATCATCTGTACTAAGCATTTCTTGTCGTAGTGGCTTTTCGGATATCTTTTCAATTTCCAAAGACCCGCTAGCGTCACTAACTTTATACAGTGTAACTGCTTTGATATCGGCCGTTTCGAAAGCGCCGTCTTCTTCGTCTGTGCTCTCATCTGGTACTTCGTCAGCCGAACCAGAACCGAGTGTGGTGAAGAAAAGCTCCTTCGCAAAATCAGAGGAGAAGTTGTCTATATGCGAATGGAATAAAACAATATACAATATATAGTGAGATGGGAGTGAAAGTGAAGCTATGTCATCTTAAAGTAGTATATCAACTCTTTGATAGTCGCCTTCCTTAACAAAGCTATGTCATCTTAGAGTAGTACATCGATTCGTTGATAGTCGTCGTCCTAATCTCTTATATTCTATGAACCATTAATACCAAGGATGAGCTTTGTATACTCCTTCATAAACCCTCGCCTTTCTTAACAAAGCTATGTCATCTTAGAGTAGTATTCTATGAACCATTAATACCAAGGATGAGCTTTGTATACTCCTTCATAAACCCTCAGTATAAACTTATTTCTAAGCTTGTCTCAATTTTAGGCCTTCTTAGAGATATTTATACATATGGAATAGCTTAAGAATTCTTTAAAATGGAGACGGTAAATAATTTTGAAGCAAGGCTTTTGCAAAGACTTAAGTTTTTCTTATTTCATGTTCTGCTAATAGCGATACTTATAAACTCTCATTTAATACGAAGCTTCCCTTTTATTCGCAGAAAATTTCCAACATTTTCGGAGCATCCAACAGCATGTTAACCGCTAGCTTGTTTTCAACAACAAAAAATTATCCGCACAGCAGTGAAATGGACGACCCGAGACACTGTAATTTCTCTACTTAAATTTTGATGATCTTCAAGAGACGTATCGCTTACCAACTTACAAATTACTGATTCACTAAGTTGTCTTTGACTTGTACAATAATTTTCGACAACTCACCAATAATGTTCACCTTCGAACGTCCATGATGGTCCTGATCACGTATTTCATTTGCAGCGTAAATGGCTTTCAGGCGCTCCAAACGTTTCGCCTGCTCGCCCACATAGACGAGTATCTCTTCGCCTGCATCCAAAATGAAACAATCGCCGCGATTCATCGACGTTATAGACAATGCTACCTGACGCACCCGTACATTTCGTTTACCCTTCACCTGGAAGAGACGCTTCTCACCAGCAGCATTCACATCGACATGCTCGAAACCAGTAGCCACGCCGCCCTTCTCGTAGCGCACACCTACAAGCGATAATGCAAATTAATTAGACACGTCAATGGCTCTTGCCGAGTCAGTTTGAGTAACCCCCGCACACGACCATTAGGGTGAAGTTGCGAACTGTTCGAACCATGTTGCCGATGGTACGCACAGGGGTGTAGATGAGTGGTGAAAAGTGCTATTTCATAGAGTTTTTAGTGCAACGCAATTTATATTTGCATTGAGTCGATGCTGAGAGCTGCCATTAACCGTCGTGGTAACCGGTCACCTGCCAACAGCTCACCGCTAACGGCCAAGAGCCCGCAGCACCGCAACACCGCAACCCACTCACCAACCCACAACCGCGAAAGCATTCCGTTGCGGAAGTTCGTTGGTGCCTCATTTGGTCGCACGAAACTTTTTAATGCAACTTACCATTTTTAAAGTAGCTGAGGAACAATTGTGATTCATGATCTTGAACTTCGCGATGCTGCACCGGTGCACCATCCAATTGGTCGTCCAGTTGCACGGTGCAAATAGCCGCAGCGCCCGCCTCGTCGGTGGTCGTCTCAGCGCCTAGCCAAAAGTGAATATCCCACGAAAGTTTTTGGCTCTTCGGGTCTTCGGTGGTCTGAAGTGGGTGGCAGGTGTAAAGAGATATATGCACAAATAAATGTTAGTAAAGACAACAATAACAAATGGGTTTATAGTTAGTATATAGTGTGGTGTGGCAAATTCACGAAAAATGGCACCACCAATGAATTGCTTCGTTGGTGAGTGTGTGGCTCGCTTACTTTGCTCGTGGTTCTAAGACAAATTTTCACAAAACAAATTCAAAGTTTTTCTATTTTCCAAAGTGAAAAAGTATGTTGTTAGCGCAACCGAGGAAAGCATATACTTTTATAATATTTCATGGCTTTACTGCTTCGCAGCTCGGTCTCTAAGGTGTAAAGTCGTAATTGTGCAAAATGAGTTTCCAATTGGAAAATGCAAGTTGAGTGCAACAATTTTGACATTACTGCAAATGAGCAAAGAAATACTGGCAATTCGTGAAAAACTAACTGCGTGCTTCCATTAGGTAAAGAGGGAGAGTAATGTGTAAAAATGCATTTCATTTAAGTTCCGTTATTTTTAAGCTTAATTTAAAGGGAAGAACAACTAATGCCAAAAAGCTTTTATAATTAAGTATCAGTTTGAACGCTTTTTGTCGTGAGAATGCAAATTTTTGTGCGAACACTTTATGATGTCTCTAGTTTTGTATCCTAAAAGTTTAGAGCATTATAACACCACAATACTTATTATTTAAATATAGGACTTAGAGAATTGTGATTAGAATAAATAACTGGTATAAATACCATTAACCGGTAAAATCAAATGGACTTAGTGCAGCAAGTGATTATAACACTTTAATGAGATATACACAGCGTTTTTTGTATTAAATGTATCTAAAAATGTATACAACTATTTTAGCTCACCTTTAAAATAATGTACGAATCTCCTTCGTAGAATTTTCCATAGTATTTGGCTGGATAGGGTACTGGCTCAAAATCCTGGAAATATAGAGTAAATAAATGCATAAAAATAACTATAATCATATTAACAAATTTATAAACAAGAAAAAACCTTAGCTCGAATTTGTGATGTGTATGTTTGTATGGCAGCTATATGATTTAGTTATCCGATATCGGTGATTCCGACAAATGAGCAGCGTCTTGGAGAGAAAAAGACGTTTGCTAATAAGATATAACTTACTTAAAGGGTTATATTCACTTACGAATTTCGAAATATAGATTTTTTGTTTTACGCCCGCATGTAAAAATTTTTTAATTTAGTATAATTTTCTCCCAAAATTTAAAATTTTTTTTTCTTGAAACGATGTTTTCAGTGTAAGTAAAGAAAATTTCTCTGAAACTGCTAGATCTTCTTTATCCATAGTATTGATAAGTTTTTTTGGTTTTTGGATTTGATATAGTTTTAAACAAACAAATCTTTCTCACCGCCAAACACCTTTTTTCGGAGGTCCTCCTGTATAGTATAACAAATCATATGAGAAACCAAAAATGTTTACAAACTAGTTAAAATTTTTTTAGAAATATATTTAATACTACCAAAATGAATAAATTAAATTTAAAAATCTTTAATTTTAGCAAGAGAAATATTCCATATTTCACTAAAGAGTAAAGTAAGCGCTCTTTAAGGGCTCAGCATTTAACAATATTTAAAGCATAAATGCCAGGCAATCAGTTAACACACTTCAATGACTGTCTGTATAATTAATTATTACGTTGATGATTCGAGTGTCTATACAAGTAAACCCGCCTCTCTTTATAAAAAGCCGTATACACACACGAAAGATATACAAGTACATATGAATTCAGAAAAGTGCTTCGTATGTGTGTGTGTAGTATATCCTATTTATTCCACATAATTTGCGAATGGCATACGGCTTATAAAGCAATTTAAATGTATTTACTCATTACAGCGCTGTTGGCGAAAAAATCGACAACTCACACATACACTGACACACCAATACACATACGCCAAATGTGTACAAAATCACAACGTTAAAGATATTAATTTGTTGTGCAGAAATTTATTTTGCATAAACAGCTTTTAATATGTTTACATTCACATTTTTCCAACATATAGAAAAAACTTAAATGGAAAAAAAGTAAATTAAATTTAAAATTAAATTTGTTTTGATATGATTTAATGCCAGCAGTTAGTAATGTTGAATAACTATTTGAAAATTGAATATGATAAATCTACTATTGAAAACAGAACAATAAATCATTCAAAGCATTTATTTTGCGTGTGAATAAGCAATCTTTTTTTTTTTAATTTTTTAATATTCAGTGATTGTGGCGATTAAAATATTATGGCGCACAGTTCAAGCGAATTACTTGATTACTTAGTTCTATAAATTGTTTCAAATATATGATCAAAACAAAGCATGAATTTTTAAACAATTAGTCGTGTTATAATTGTGTGACAAAAAGTTTTAAATTTTATTATTTCATATGTAAGTACCGCAAATCGCTAAAAACGCAAAAAAATACCCATTAAACGAGCTGGAGAATGAAGACACCATGAAATACGTGTTTAAAATATTAACCGTCTTTGTTTCGACACTTTTTACATTATAAGTTTCTGATGGCTAAGCTCCAACTCTGCTCTCTTGGTAAGCGCATTACGTGCAAAAAGAACCAGAAATATATTTATGTAGTTAACTTAATAAAAACGAACACCGCTAATAACCGCTTTATATGCTAACTCTATTTGATAATGTCGAACTGATTTATACTAGTTCTTTGCTGTAATCTTTAGTCTACAACAGTGGTCGGAATAGCACAATTGTTTTTTTCGTTATAATAATATACTTTATTTTATAAAAAATGTTTATAAATAGGTAAATTCAATTGAAAATGAATACTATGATGCATCACATTACAAAACAATTCATCACATACATTTAAATTTCATACTTTCTTTAATTTTCATTGTTTTACTTTTTTATTAGTGATCTTGAACGGTGGCAACAAATCCCTCCATTCACATATATTATATTTCTGGTAGAATTTCAATTTGGCCATTGCAATTGCGTAACCAATCCAGTAAACTGTCAAACTGTATCTCTGACATCGCGTATAGCCGTGTTGCTAAGGCACACGTGCCTTGCGTGAAATTATTTATGATTAGGTATGCTTTTTAGTGTTGTAAATTACGTTTTGTGTTTTACTTAGGGTTTTTAAGCACAATAAAGTTACAGTTTTTAGGGTTAAATATACATCTTTTAATCGTAGAATAAATAAAATTAATAAAAAAGAGCGGAAATACTTGTTTCATGAAAGTATGGAAATAAGATCTAACTGGATGTTCTTACTTTCGTGCGCACACACACAATCGCATTTCCTGTCATGCCGACCACTCCTCTACAATATTAGTCAATTCGAAGATAGCTAGCAATCAATTTGTTTTATAAAATGACTGATACAACTCTGAACAGGATATAATAAGTTTGTCACGAAGTTTGTAACACCCAGACCCTATAAAGTATATATGAAAATAATCAACTAGACGAGCTGAGTCGATTTATTCATCCCCGTCTGTCCGTCTGGATATACGCGAAATAGTCTTAGTTTAATTGTGCAATCTTCTAAAAAATGGTTCCGATCGTATCACTATAGCATAAAGCAGTTATACTTATTTCTATGGATATTTTTTTTTCGTTAACAGTGGCAATATTCGAGAAAAATTTAAATTAAATTGGGTAGCATAATAAATAATATGACGTACAAAAATAAGGTATTCGCCTTCACCTTTTAGAAAAAGTGTATTCGTTTTAAACTTCATAAACTCTATGACAGCCAAACATTGCTTGAATGCCTTAACATGAACTAACAAAAGATATCGAGGCAGAAAACCTACTGTTTTCAGATTAATTTTAATTCAAAAACATTAAATAAAAAGCAACGTATTCGTAAATAATAAAAACTTTTTATATATGATAAATTAAGGGGAAACTTTAAAAAAAAAATAATAAAAATCTGTTTTTAGCCTCCATTGTTAACAAGAAACTAATAGCACTGAATCGCAGAGAACCTTTTGATGTTACATATTGTACATATTTATATGAGTTATGATATAATAATAAATATGTAATGTATTTGTATGTGTAACAACAAAAATAGACTCTCTTGTACATTGGATTTAATTTTACTTTACTTTACTAAGAACTTTAAAGCTTTAATATATCAAAAACACAATTTTCTAGAAATTTTTTATTCAATTTAAGCGCAAATGCTTGAGGTTTGAAGCAAAAATTAAATTATTCAATTTGATAATGATATAATCCATACAAATAACAAAAGTAAACGATATTATTTAACTGCATTTGGCAAAGTAATGAAAGAAGAAATATTTAAAAAAGGAAAATATAAACTTAATATAAAAAACAATTTAATAAAATAAAGGTATTAAAGATTGGTGAATGAAATGATTGGAATAGAAATAAGTAGAGCAAAGCGTTTCACTTTAGGATTTGACTTTGTTATCGCATACCATTATACATAATATCTCAAACTACTCAAGACACGAAGTGCACTTTCAAATTTCGGTTACAGAAAACAACATCCTAAGAAACTAAATGTGGACAATAAAGGACTAAGTAATAATTTTTGTTTGTGCTTAAGGACATACATTCATTCCAAGTCCATTCATAAAATAAGTTGAGAACCTGCTGCTAACAAGATGATTCTCGCGAATAGTGTCCTTTGGTACTTCGATGGAATCATGGGTAATAGAAGTGGATATACAATTCGTGGATAATAAGAATTAAAAATTTAATCAAATCGCCCGAATTTATTTAATGCATAGCTTATTAAATTTTCTAAACTTAAAGCCACCACAGTAATCCCTAATTGAATGCATTTCATTTGGAAATCAATAAGTTCAGTGAGCTTTGTGCCGTTTTCACAACAATTTCATTCTGCACAAGAATAATTCACACACACGCGCACACATACAACCACATATGTAGCTACAAATATCCAGCGCTTATTATCGCAAAAAAAAACATATAATATGACTGTGATTGCAACAAATGCATACGCCGTTGTTGCAACATGCAATCTGCCACTGCAATCCGTGTGGCTGCCGCATTTAAATTTCACATGAAAAATAAACGAAATTGGCGCTTTAAGCTGGTTGTTTGTTTAATTAAAAACAACACTTGAAACTACTGGTGGACACCATTGTCCGAGCTGACATGCCAACATTTTTTCATGCTGTTGCACGAGCATGCCATCAACTGCCAACTGATGATATGAGTGAGGAAGGAAGGAAGCTGCCGAGCGCCTTCACTTGCTCCACATCCGCTGCCAAAGGCGGATAATTCGGTTTTTTCTTCACCATTTAAATTTTATTTCATTTCAACTACTTGATTTTTTTTTATTTTTTATTCTTATTTTATTTTTGTTTCTTTGTTGTTGCTGAATATTCTCATTTAATAAAAATTAAAAGTAATGTGGAAAATGTACTGCACAATTATAGGCATTTGTGAAAATGCGAGTAGCGTATAAAGCGTGGCTCAAAAACGTGAATTTCATATTGTAACTACCAAAGCATACTTCAGGGACCCCATAAAATGTATATAAGTATATAAATGATCAGCCTGATGAACTGAGTCGATTTAGACATACCCGTCTGTCTGTATATTGCGACTAGTTCCTCAGTTTTTGAGAAGCTGCTCCTTTGTTGGAACTGCCGATATCGGATCACTTGTCATACAATATGATCGATCAACCTCAGGCCCTTGTATGCACAACTTTTTTATTTGAAAAAGTACCTTCACAAAATTTAGCATAAATTATTGTCCAAGGAGGCACTACACTAAGCTCTGAATAAGTTGTTCAAATCGGACCACTGAAGCATGTAGCTGTCATATAAAGGACCTACGAATTCAAGTCGCTGCATAGAAAGTTTTTAACTTGACAAGGTACCTTCACGAAATTTTATACGTATAATTGTACAAAGCAGTGCTACTATCTTC